CCTGTCGCGCCCTGCCGGTTGGTGGCGGTCGCGCCAATCTTATACATATTCGATCACACTGTTTAATATTAACGTAGGCACTATAGCGCTCACATGATAGCCCTGGGCGCCATATTACAACCTGTCGGGAAGCCGGCGACCGCGCCTGATTCACTTTAGTGAGCGACTATAACGCCCTATCATACTCATTGACTATAGACTTGTTTAGAAAAAACATAGGCGCCATTGCGCTCAAGGAAAGCCCAGTGCGTCAAATCGCACACTGCGCGGCGCAGGAGTATGTGCCTGATTTGATATAGACAGTCAACAATTATTGTTGCACATCTTGTCTACATCCTTTTTTGAAAACGAACGTATGCGCCATAGCGCTCGCATGGAACTCAGGGTTGCTCTGGTTCAAGAAATAGCCGACATACCGGTGGCTGTGCCTGGTAATGTTTTAACGCTGAATAGAGTAGTACCATTTACCCGCTGTGCAGGACGCCCAATCAATAAAAAGTAAGTGCCAAGATAGCCGTTCTGAATCTCTCGGAACCAAACCGTGTATTTACAAAAGTCGTACCCTCACGGGCACCGCGCATAAGAAATCAACTCCCCAAAATTTCATGGCGCTCGGATTAACGGTGTTGAGCTGCATCCTACTTTTTTATATATATATACATATTTAGAGAAAAATATCACAATCCCTCGGCGCCGACCTTGCCAAATTGAATTTTTTTTTTATTGCAGAAACCCCAATGAACTGTTCTAATCTACTCTCCAAAGTTTGATGGACACGTCAAATTGCAACCGAGCAGAGTTTCTTCCAGGCATCTCTTCGGGGGGGGGGGGGTGGGGGGCAAAGCCCCCCCCCCCCCCGAAATTTTTTTACCCCCCCCCCCCCCCCCCGAACGAAATGAAATTTATATAATTTATAATAATAGTATATATTTTCTATATAAATTATATATAAATATATAATTTTAACAGTGTCGCCCCCCCCCCCGAAGAAAGTCTACCGCCCCCCCCCCCCCCCGAAAATTTCAAGAGCCCCCCCCGGAGAAAAAAGTCTTGAAGAAACACTGCAGACGAGTTATTTCTACCTTGTATATATATATATATATATATATATATATATATATATATATATATATATATATATATATAAAGAATAATATGTGTATGTTTTTTATGCCAATACACATATGATCCGGTTCTATTTATGGTCTACTCTTCACTATTTTTTCTAGCTTTGGATGTTAAGAAGAGTAATGTTTCAATTTACACCCTAAAAATCACACTCCTAGGTAATATATAAAGTCTTTAAATAACATTTTCAGTCTTTCCTTCCCTCCATTGAAACTACTATTTCGCCTCCTTGGCTGAAATTCGTATATAAGGTTTTCGTAGAGTGTTGAGCATACAAGTTTTTAAACTTTTCATGTTTTTGATTTAATATTTTTTTTTTTAATATTTACTTAACACTTCGTTTCGTAAACAGGCTTTGTTAGTAGCTCGTGTGTAGGGGGATTGTTCCCTCCCTAATCAGTAGCGTACGCAGGGGGGAGCAGGGGGAGCGGCCGCTCCCCCTCTGGCCATTTTTTGCAAAGGGGCGCCTTTTTGGAAACTTTTTAAACTCAAAGTTTTAAACATTGATATTTATTAAAAAAATTATCTTTGGTCGGCACATTTGAAGCGTAAATCTCTGTGAATATTGTTTTTGCAATTACCAGTAAAAGGTGTGTGAGGAATACAGTGATCTAACCCATACCTTCTCATTATGTCAAGAAATGATCTTTAAAGAACACTAAAAGTCAGTAGCTAATTAAAAAGTGCATGAACTGTAATGTAAGACCGATAATTTAGTTAAATGTAGGTTATTATTCCGAATGTTTTACTGCTTCATTGAAAAGCTGGTTTTTATACTAACTTGGATTTAAAAAAACTTTCATTACGCTGTAGTACTTTAGCATTTATGAAGACAACATATTTAATTCTGATTGTAGACAAAATATTTTTGTAACAACAAATAGTGTTAAGCTACTTTATTAGATTCTAAAGTAATCATTGATTTGTTTTGATATTTATAATAAAATATGTAGACATATATATATTTATATTAAGTTATCGATTATTTCCCCTTTTCTCTAGTCTTAATAGATGTCCCAGGAATTATTATGTAATTTTTTTACAAGGATTACGAAACAGATTATGCCGCGTTCATTGTTTTTGGTTGTAGTGTGTTTATATGTATGTATGTATATATATATATATATATATATATATATATATATATATATATATATATATATATATATATATATATATATATTGTTTAGAGTGAAACCTGGATACGCCACTGTCCCTAATACAACGCCTTTGCGGATGACGTCAAATGGAGTTATTCAGCGGGAAACAGCCACGTCGACAATGATGCAAGGTTGGTTAAGATGTAATGATCCGATTGGCTACTCGTTTACCAGGGCGTGGCAACACTGAATGGTTTGAATTTATCGTCAGTAGCGCTCTCACACAGTCGGCGCGCAAGCTCATCGTTGATAGCGTACACACCACAGTTTAAGAATAAGGCTGGCTCTTACTGTTCAAAGAAAAATAGACACTCAACATTTAAAACAAAAAGCTGAGTAAACAACATCCATTGATCTGTAAGTATACTTTTAATTTAAGTATATCATTTTCACATTTGTTGTTAAGTTCTACCCTGAACGATGGAACAGAGGCGTAGCGACCCTTCACGGCGCCCGGGGACAAATTTCGATTTGCACCCTCTCAAGATTTTGCTTTGCACCCCCCGCCCTCAAATTTTCGATTAGCACCCCCCTCACGCTTTCAATTTATTTTTCCAACCCATTTTCGCACTCCCTAAGGTCGGCGCCGGGGGACATATGACCCCCCCCCATGCCCCCCTCGTTACGCCTCTGCGGTTGCAAACTAAACGGTTGCTGGTGATGTCATTTGTTGAGTCACGGGGCCAGAAGCGCAGCACCCCTTTCCGGCGCCCGGGGAGAACTATCAATCTTGCGCCTATCCCCCACCCTTCTTTTATACATAAATTTATACGTTGTTGAAAAAACGCCACCCCCTCACTAACTTAGAAAGTGGCCTTTTTTACCAGTCCCTTTTTCTTACTGTGTCACAAATTCGATGTAGACAACTAGACCGTACAGCTAGTTAGCAGTCTAATTTCTTAACCTCGACTTTAAATAATTCAGTAATGCTTCTCAGAATGAGCTTTCAATACATTTATTAGCTTATATATGTCTGTGTGTGTGTGTGTTTGGTTAATTTATCTCTTATTCTGTGTATGTGTTTTTAAGCATTTTTAAAATATAACTGATTGCAATTGTCTGTCTGTCTGTCTGTCTGTCTGTTATTCAGTCTGTCTGTCTGTCTCTTTCTCTGTCTGCCTGTCTGCCTACCTGCCTGTCAGTCTGTCTCTCTGTCTGTCTGTTTCTCTGTCTGTCTGTCTCTCTGTCTATCGTTCTGTTTCACTGTCTTTCTGTGTCTTTGTCTCTCTATCAGCCTTTATCTACGTTGAGAACTTACTGTCTGTCTGTCTACTATAACTTTCATACGATCGACATGAAACTTTTGGAAGTTGTTAAGAATATTCATGGGAAGATAACTGCGAAAATAAATATTTTAAATTTGCCGAGGTGACGCCGCAGCAAGGCGCAATTCGATTCTTCTCTATTCTATATATAAAAATAAAAGTCGATTGCGTTTTGACACCGTTCGTCCGATCACTATGAAACTTTGGGGTGTTTATTATAACACGACAGGGGAGGTTTTTGCAAACAAATATTTGTTTTAATTTCGTAAAGAGCCAGGGAGGGTGCGATTTTTTCCAATATACTCTATATAAAAAAATAGCGGCTTTTTTTTTAGCAATCAGGCGTCCTGCATAGCGGGTGATGGGTAGTATTATATACAGCGTTATCACTTCAACAGGCGTTACCTCCGGAGCCCCGGTTATGTCGTGACCCTAAGCGCCCCTGGCTGTCCTTTGACCACTATAGCGCCTACGTTCATTTTTTAAATAAACCGGGAGTGATCTCCCCTAAACTTTCTTGAAGATTCTTATACAAAACTATGGGCGATGGCGATTCGGGATATAGACATAATTTTTAATCCAATTTTAAATACTTAAACTTTTTAAAATAGAATAGAATCTCGTAGAAAAAAGAATTACGCACCAAGTGAACGTTAAACAATATGAGTATAATTACGCGGAATAGTATTGGTACTTCATAAATTTCCATGCGCACTTCAGAAATAGGAAATAACGTAAATTACTTTTTTCCGGTCACCGGAAATTACTCAAAATTTGACAGAAGGCAGATAAGTAGATCTTTTACATATGTGTGAATTATTTTTTAATATATCCGAAAGTTATATGCTTTAGAAGAAAAAAAAAGTAGAATAAGTTCCACTTCCAATTATCGGGAATCTCTGAAAAGTTGATACAGAACTACACATTTGAAATAATAGTCATGTATGAAATTTCATCAGCCTAGCTGTAACGATACTCAAAATATCGTGTTTACAGACACACACAAAACATATACAAACATACACACAGACATACGGACGAAATTGCAAAACTATGTTTTTCCGACACAGTGAGGTGCAAAACGAAGATATTTGTGAAAATCTCGATGTCGAGTGTTTGCACGATTACAATACTTCCTCTATACTTCGTATTCAAGAAAGTAAAAAACGCTATACACTAAAGACACGGTGGACAACAATAAACAATGACTATATCGAATCGGCAGCGTCCACCGCCGCCCCTGTGGGGTGCAATTTTGTTCCCTGGGCTTTCCTGAGAGCGCTATGGCGCTTACAATTGTTTTAAACAGTGCCATAGACTATGCATAAGATTGCAATTTAGAGTCGCTCACTATACATAATCAGGTGTGTCCGCCGGCACACCGTCAGGGTGCGATTAAGCGCCCTCCGCTAATCTTTGATCACTATTCTGCCTACGTTAGTTTTAAGGAGCACCCTAAAGTATTGACAAGGAAACCGAGCCAAAGCCGTATGCTCACGAGAGCGTTCTTTCTACGTCGTCGAAACTTAGGCGGTAAATAATTAAAGTTCATATTACAGTGAGTGATTTACGTACACACAAGGTTTTCAAATAGTATACGTAAACCAGTGCCCTGAAAATTATAATCAAAGTCCAGATATTGATTACATATAAATAACTCAGTTTTAGAAAACAAGGTTACGCGTCTAAGAATGTAGGATAGGTAAAGCATTGATGAAACCCTCCTAATATATTTCCTCAGATGTTATTTGTGTTTAATGCATTATTACAGCTTTCATCCGATCACCAAGCAACTCTGAGAAATTGTTGAGAATTCTCATGGGGAGGTTTATGTGAAACAATTTCAATTTCTCACGGGCGGCACCTCGGCAGGGTGCCATTTTGCGCCCCGGGCTAACCTGTGAGCGCTATGGCGCCTACGTTCGTTTCAAATAATATGATAGAATAATAATAAGAAGTATTCGTTCTCTAAATTGAACCAGGCGCGTCTGCCCGCACGCCGTCAGGGTACGATTAGCCCCGGGATATCCTCGGACTTTATTCTAAATCCGCAGCAATGGGGACGAGCACGCTAGTCTCTCTATATATAAAGCAATGTATCCGATCGACATGAAAACTGATAGAAGATGTTGAGGGACAGGGTAGCCTATCGGTAGAGAACTAGACTGCTAACCCGCAAGTCTCGAGTTTGAATCCAGGACGTCCATCTGTCCACCTAGCTCTGATGGGCACCTAAGTTACGTTAGGGAATCACAAAAGACTGGACAGAGCGCTGACCACATTATCCCTTTGTATGCCGCGGTCATTGAAACAGATGAACTCTACTTCATCCGCTGCATGTATCTTGGACACAGACGGGAAAAGTTGATGAGATAATTTGGCGTGTTTAAAATTTATCATTTTGGATTACTAGTTGAATCTATTCTGTACTGTAGGTTTAATCTATTTTGAAAAATTGTTATACATATTTGTAACTTATTACAATGTTATCGTTGCTTTCAAATTGTGTGTGAATTTTTTTTTTTATCTTTAGAAAGTCAAGATGAAAAAAGTCCTGATCTGTTTAGCAGTTTGTTTTGTTTTTACTGCAGTGTGTAAGTTCGTTTTACGACATTTATAATTTGTGTATTAAAAAAAAATTCGATATGGGTTAAGATTAAAATTAAATCGTTACAAGTTTAACATTATCGTGAAAATATAAAGTGATCAATGGCTATAATAATCTTTACTCGTTTTTCTTTTATATTGTGTAAGTTATGTCTATGCTTCTCTGGAACTAAGTTTATTCATTTCACAGTGGAGTTTTTTTTTCATTTCTCTATATATATTCTGACATTTTGTTTAAAAAACTAATCAAAATAACTTAAGAAATTAATCAAAGTTTCCGTTTTAAGTCACTAACTTTCCGCTCTATTGTACAAACGTTGTTAATGTTCATTTTGTGCGCATTTAAAAAAAATTTTTTTGCCCATCGTAATATACGATAAAGTGTAGGGGAGATTATTCAAGCTTTATTCAATGTAATTTTAGATGCAGCAAAAGCAGCAGTTGTAGACGATGCCCAGGTGTTTGCCAACTTTCTTGAGATCTATGGAGGAGAAAACAGCGGAGTGGAGCATATCTTCGCCAATGGGACAAAAGAAAACATAAAAGCCAGTGTAACGAGATCTCCTTTTACAGCTAAATTCGGAGATTCTTCGGTATATCGGTGTTTAATTTTTTATAATGACTGTTGGAAAATAATATATCGCCTTATACACACTATCACACTCACACACACACACACACACACACACACACACATATATATATATATATATATATATATATATATATATATATATATATATATATATATATATATATATATATTTTTTTTTTTTTTTTTTTTTTTTTTTTCTCCAACTAGACAGATTTAAATCTTGTTTTTAAAATATTTCACAAAAAGGTTTTGAAATGTTGTTTGCCTTAGCATTTCTATAATTATTACGCTATATGCTATATGTTGAAATTGAATAGTGGTAACACATATGGTCTTACATTCGTCTGCGTGTAATCCAGTTAGGCAAATCGAAAAAAGTTTTTTTTTTAATTTCACACCCATTTGGAGTTCTCTAGTATCGGCGCCCGGGGGTTCTGCCCTCCACTAGCTACGAGCAAGAAGTGGAAAATATAATACAAAATGTTAAAAAAAAAGAAACGACAGATGGACAAAACACACCCTGCTGTGGCAGAGACTTAAGTTTCTGCTGAAATGACTAACTGCAATACATGATAAAGAAAACTATAGTAAAGTGAAGACGTTCATTGTGAAGAATAATCATTTTCTTCCATGTGATGTGTGTGTCGAAGGGAAAGCTCCGGCGAAATTAAGTTCAAACAATCTGTAAGCACGTTAGTGAAGACGATGAAAAAAACGGAAAATTATGGGTTTAATATTTGTATTTCTTCTTCCGTGTTAAAATATAAAAATGATTAGGCATTTTATATAAAGTCTAGGAAAAGTATTGCACAGATACTTCATATTATTCCTAAAATGAACGACATTCATACATTGCCAGTACAATATATAAATGTCAAATTATATATATATATATATATATATATATATATATATATATATATATATATATATATATATATATATATATATATATATATATATATATATATATATATATATATATATATATATATATATATTTGTTTGTTTAGGAGCTTAAGTTTTATCAAGTTTTCAAGGAGAGTAATGGTAGTGAGACAAAATCTGTGTTTGGTATAATGATGTCAGGAGATAAAATAATTGAAAAACGATATGCTTTCAACAGTGCGTAAGTCTCAGATAAATAACATAGACATTGTTTTTAAAATAAGCCATGTGTATTGACCGATCAAAGCATACGTCTTGGAAAGTGGATTTAAAGAATCTATATCTAAATCAATAAATCATTTCTTCAAAATCTAAAATTGTAAGATGCCGCCATTAGTTTTGTGTTCTTTCCGTAGTTTAAACATATGGCATTTGACGTTAATGTTTATTGCGTTATTCTTATAACCATAAACACTTTTCCGGGTGCGCAATTAAATTGTGTTTCTACATTAGATTTTAGCTTAATGTTGTATATTATTTCTTTAAATACAATTTAGTATATACATTTAAAACATCCAGCATATTATTTTTAAGTCCGTATCTTTAAGTTCTTTATATTTCAATGGAGATAGGCCTACTGATCTCCTAGGCTCGTGACATGCGGACAGAGGGAGAGTGTGTGTGAGAGAAAGAGAGAGAGAGAGATAGAGAGACATGGGCTTTTATATATTTGAATTATTTTCCAGTGAAATAATAACTTTTTATATATATATATATATATATATATATATATATATATATATATATATATATATATATATATATATATATATATATATATATATATATGGTGCGCGGACGTTTGACCACAGGTGCTTTGACCATAGGGGGTTTGACCACAGCGGAGCTTTGACCATAGGGGGTTTGACCACAGCGGAGCTTTGAACATAACGGAGCTTTGACCATATATATATATATATATATATATATATATATATATATATATATATATATATATATATATATATATATATATATATATATATATATATATATATATATATATATATATAAAATCTATTTTCTCTACAGCGCGCCTGCAGCTGCCAACATAAACAAAAGTTTTTTAGAAAATCAGTTAACAGCCAGCATGGTTACGTACGCTCCCACATGTGATGTGACATTTCTTCGGTTGGGTCAAGCAATTGATCAATTTACAGCCAAATCTCCTCCATGCGACGACGCAGTAGTAGGATAATTTTATACTTTTATGTATACATCATATCCTTTTTCTAAATGCATTATTTTAAATAACGTCTTTTTATGATCCCTTTACAAAGAGACAATAAGTATTAATGAGAAATAGACAAGACGTAAACATTAAGCATTGAGCTAAGACAAAAAGTAAGCATTGACATAGAGCTAAGACAAGAAGTAAGCATTAAGCATAGAGCTAAGACAAAAAAGTAAGCATTGACAAAGAGTTAAGACAAAAAGTAAGCATTGAGCACAGAGCTAAGACAAAAAGTAAGCAACGACATAGAGCTAAGACAAAAAGTAAGCATTGAGCATAGAGCTAAGACAAAAAGTAAGCATTGACATAGAGCTAAGACAAAAAGTAAGCATTGAGAATAGACCTAACATATAGACAGAGTTTTCACATATTCGTCTGTGTGGTAGAGCGTTTGACCACTAATTAAAAAACCTCGAGTTTGGATCCCGAGGTTCGAATCCATAAGACGTCCTTTAGTCCATCAAGCTCGGAAGTGTACCTGACTAACCTTAGTGAAAGCAAAGTAAGCGAGGCATAGTGTTGACCACTATCCCTTCACGTTCCGAGGTCACTTAATCGAAAGAGTTCTACTTCACTTATTTTTTTTTTAAATTTACATATAGATTTAAAAGTAGTGCATATCTGTTGCTTATAACACGATGTATTATTTATTTAACTCTATGTGTACGTAACAAATGTAATTTCTTCTTAACACCAGGAAGATAACCCTGCGACGGCCATTGTGAACTGCACTGGAACTTATTACACCCAAACTAAATCTCTGGACAAGTATTCTGAATTCAAGAAAAGTCGAATGTAGGGATTCATTACTCCTTTTAATTTTATTCCGGAGAATTAAAAACGTTTCAGAACGTATTTGTCGGTGTCCCTTTTCGTTGGTTACGGAACATTAGAGCCTATGTCAAAGCTTTCCGATCCCCACTATCTCTGACCTTTCTTTTCGGCTGTTTCCTGTGTTTTCTTCTTTTCTTAAGCACGCTTAATTGTAATGTTGGATGGGATTTCCTCCATCAAAGTTAAGTTCTTCGTGTCAACCCTTTATTCGCCATCTAGGCCGTTATTTCCTATTTCCGATTTCTCTTTGGATTAGATTCAATAACCTTTGTCCATCCAATTAAAAACAAAAAAAGCAGCTGCAGTTTGATTTGTAAGTTCTCTATCATAGATTAGTTACTATCCCCCAGCTATCGAGCCTCATCTACCTGTGGGATTTGAAGGGAGATGTTTTTGCGCATTTGACCGATATTAAATTCTTAATCGTAAAAATATATTTGGTAAACGTAAAAAAAAATCGTCTTCTATCATTAACATTTTTTTCTTCCACAGCACATCCTGGCCAGATAACTTTAAGAGTTATCTGAGAAAAGATAAACCGTGTGGTTACACGTAGATGTGTAGGACATCAGTCTTTCATTGAATCTGCTACCAGTTTATTCTATCAAAAGATTATGGAAATCAGATACTTAATTAAACCCTTGAGAGAATAAAACAGATCAGGAACGTTTTATTTTATATTTCGGCAGGGTAAACTTTAGGGGGAAAACCCTATATATTTAAAATTTTACGGAAGGAATATATATTTTAATGCAGTGTAATAAAATAGCGACGAGTAAAAAAAAAATTGTAAAATTTAGAAGCAGAAGTGAAAATAAATTATATGTTCGTTTTGTTTCGTTTTATGAGAAATAAAATTTAAAAAACCCACAAAAAAGTATCTGTTGTCGTTTCCTCAATCTCTGTGTCAATTTATTTTCGGAAGCAAATAGTTAAAATTATAAAGATGGAGTGATCTCCCCTAAACTTTCTCGTATCTTCAGTCTTCGCTATAGATTCTGAAACCATAAAAGTAAAAAGTAACACCACTTTTTAACGCAATTTCCATACTGGACAATTGCGATTATTAACTCGTCATTTCTGGATGGATGTGTGGCCGCAATGGATGTGTGTCCGCAGCTTTAAGCAGAACCTATTCCATCGTAGCCTTTTTCTGGCTTCTCGCCTTCTGCATTAAGAGGTAGGCTTGCTACCAGGCTGAGAGAGACGAGCAGACAGGCTACCACAAGGATGTTCAAACAACTCATGGCTGGGAAGCTCACAAAGCTGAAGAGGGGCTAGGGAGAAGAAGATTATACGTGTCAACGCAACAATGCTAATTAAGAAAGACGAGTTGAAACTATTTAACTTGATATTATGTTTTTGAAAATAAATTGAGAGATTTGATGATGGAAAGGGAAAACGCGAAAACTTTTCTTAATTGCTGAAACGTGCACGTTAAGTTTCGTTCTTTATGGACCCTCCACGACAGGTTTTTCCCCATCGCTACAACTTTCCTACACCAAAAATTGTTTATTTATGCATTTTATAAAACAACTAATTATTATTTGAAAAATGTACCTACGTTATTCATAACAAATTTTCTGTTTGTATAGTATAAAGATTTATTGTCTACGGTCAGTTTTAACGTCCTCTCAAGGAATTCTCGAAGGGACCACTACTGGTCACACAATCTGGCTACATATTAGTCATATGATTTGGTCATGCTATGGTCGTGCGATTCAGTCACGTGACTGTTCTCTGACTTGGTAATAGGGCTGGTAAGTAGGTCACCAACCAGTTCGACGGCTCAATAAAACCTGCATGAGCCATAGAACTGGTTGGTGACCTACTTACCAGCCCTATTTGACATGGGAATTTATGACAAGCAAAATATTTTTTAAAAATTACATACTTGTTCATTGTAAATTAATCAATTAATCGTCCCGTAACCCGTATTCATTGGAATGTCACGGTTGATTTTCTTAATTTTCTACCAACATTCTTGTGGCCCACCCCTCTCCATGCCTGGCCACATCCGGAGGTCTCCTTCTAAATGACTCACCTTGGCCACGAACACTTTGCCGTTGTAGTTCATCTATGAACTCTAGCGCCTTAACCGTTGACATTTACTAGAGGACCATACGCCTAATGATTTGAAAATGTGTGTGAATTGTATACATCTATACCCCAAAATGACGGCCATAATTTTATTTTGTAGACATAAGGAATTCTCCGTTGATACAAATATCCCAAAATTACCAAGGAGATAATATTTTTTGTTCTGGCCATTTGAACCACTAAATGACAATATATTCCCACGTTTTCTTTAACTTGCTTTCGCGTCTGTTTGTCTTTCCATCAAATCTTGCTAACGAAATTTCGGGCACTTCCCAGTTAGCTAGCGTGCTGACATTTTCAGGGAAGCTTTGTTTCCGATGACAATACAATATTCAATTATTATTATTACTTAATTGATCCATGGAAAAATTTTATTGATCATTTTAGACTCCTATTGATTTGTACAAAAAAGGGACATAACCTAGTAATTGTAATTTAATAAAAACAAGGTTCGGTACTTTCCCTCTTCTGGCTTACTGAAAAACTCGATCGCAAGGCACTGGAATATACAAGATCATGTCTCAGGATCGAATCATTGATTCTGGAAAAAAACGTCGACAAAATCGACATGAGCAAAGTTGTATCCAACGATATAAATAAGACTGGAGGATTGCAAAAGGAAATGGAAATATTCCTCGGCGCTAAAGTGATGTTGAGAGCGAACATTATCGTTGAAAAGGGACTGGTTAATGGCTCAATCGGCAACATTACAGAAATTCATTGGCCAAATTTCAGACGCGACCAGATTGATAAAGACATTCCCGACAAGCATTGACTTTGGGCCAGATGGAATCCATCGGATTGAGCCGAGATGCGTAGAATTTGATGGAAAACTGAATTATGGAAAAGTCGAGCGAAGACAACTGCCCATAATTCTATGCTTGGCATGCATAGTGCAAAAAATGCAAAGCTGCACAGTTGATCACGCCGTTGTCTATTTAGGACCAGCGCTTTTTGAAACGGGCCAGGCGTATGTTGCGCTCAGTCGAGTACGATCACTCGAAGGCGTACGCATTGTGGAATTGGATTGCAGCAAGCTAACAGGAAAAAAACCCTGCAATGAGGAATGTCTACAGGAGATGGAAAGAATGCGTCGATACGAACCTCCAGCTGATCCTGAATAATAAGCGTGTCATGCCTGGTATAAGTCCCTTTTTTCTTTGTGTTCTTCCTTTGTGAGTGTTTGTCTTCGTTTACCCCAAAAAAAAGTGAATGCGAGAAGTTATATATATATATATATATATATAATACACGTAAATAGAACGTAGTAAAAATGCGGCGCCTTTTTTGCTCTTTTCGCTCTCCCTACAACGAAAACCTGGATACGCCTTTGTTCCAATGTAATGTCTGTCCGTCGAACCCGAACCCGGGTGTTGGATAATGTTTACGAATTTAGGAGGGGTTGCCATATGGGGTTCATCACCGACCTATCTGTCTACGCTATCAAACGCCTAAACAAAAATCACCTATAATTAGGCTTGTGTAGAGAGGAATCGCCACTCAATCTTAGTTATGTGGTCAGTACACGACGTGTTTTTGTAGAAACGTGCCTTTTCTTGTCTTAATTTCTTGTCAAATGCTTAAATTTCATTCTCTCCAATTGTTGCATTTATGAAGTTCTGCTTTCTTCGCTGGTATCTCAGCTTTAAGCTCTCGTTCTCAGAACCTATGGTGTAGTCACAGTGTAGTGGGTACTGCAGTTCTCGACAGATAGTGCATCGGGTGGGATTCTACCATGAGCTGCTTTACCATTCATAATGTTCTTAAGAGGTGGATATTTATTCATGTGTAGCAAACAGTTTCTTCCAGGCATCTCTTCGGAGGGGGGGGGGGAGCGAATTAAGTCTAACACCCCACCCCCGAACGAAATAGAATTGATATAGAAAATAGAAAATATATACTTTTAACAGTGTCCGCCCCCCCCCCCCGCCCCCTCCTAGAAATTATTAAAATAGTGTCCATTTTTCTAGTTTGCTTTTATTTATTGAGTGTTGATTAATTATAAGGTATTTATTCTAGTCTTGCTAATTTCGAACTTAATAACAATGTCTTTTTACTTTCTCGTATATACGAAGTATAGAGAAAGTCTTGTAATCGTGCAAAAAAAAAAATCGAGATTTTTACAAATCTCGACGTTTCACACCTCACTGATACGGAAAAACATAATTTTGCAATCTTGTCCGTATGTCTGTGTGTCTGTCTGTGTGTCTGTGTGTCTGTGTGTCTGTCTGTCCGTGTGTAAACACGATAACTTGAGTACCGTTACAGCTAGGTTGATGAAATTTCATATATAAGTATTGTATCAAAATCGTAGATCCGTATCAACTTTTGAGCGATTTCCGATAACCGGAAGTGGTACTTTTCCTACTTTGAATTTTTCAAAAGCCTATAACTTGAGTACTATATCAGATAGATAAATGAAATTTCATATGTAAGTAAAAGATCTAATTCTCTACCTTCTATTAAATTTTGAGTCATTTCCGTTGACTGGAAGTAGTACTTTACGCTACTTCCGATTTCTCAAAAAACTAATGTAAATTTTAAAAGTACTAATAATATTGCGCACCATTATGCGCTTTTTTATTTGGCGTTCACTTGGTGTGCAATTAATTTGTCTACGAGATTTTATTCTATTTTTAAAACTTTAAGTATTTAAAATGGATTAAAAATCATGTCTATAGCCCGAGTTCCCATCCCCTGTTATTTTATATAAGAATATTCGAGAAAGTTTAGGGGAGATCACTCCCGGTTTATTTAAAAACAGCTTTTTAAATATCTTTTGCTTTAACATACTACATACTGATTTAATACTACTTTTTTGGGTAAATGGTAAAATACATTAAATTTTTTGCTTTCACATAGTGTAAGGTAAGCCTTAAGGGTACGAAATTTCCTATCACTTTAGGTCAGGGGGTGGCAACATGCGGCTCGCGAGCCGCATGCGGCTCTTGTGATGTCAAGATGCGGCTCTTCAGCTTCATGAACACATGTTAATAATTATTTTATTTTATTTTATTTTAATGTTACTCTGCAATACTCGAACGATATAATAATAAATATAAACAATAAACACTCGCTATTCTATTAGAATATTTAATTACTCCCTATTTAAATGTACTTCCTTGTTTTATAAAACTGAGTTATTTAAATGTAATCAAAGCCTGTGTTTGAATCATATTTATAGGGACACGGGTTTACCTACACTCAGTGGCGTCGCTAGGTCGGGTGTCGTCCGGTGCGGTACTTCGTGCTGTCACCCCATTCCCCCCCCCCCCCCCCAAGAAACTTATATGTATATATAAATACAAATATATATATATATATATATATATATATATATATATATATATATATATATATATATATATATATATATATATATATATATATATATATGTGTGTGTGTGTGTGTGTGTGTATTAACCTACATAGGCCTATAATTTAAATATACGCCACACCCGTACATGGATGTTTATAAGCTTTAATTACCACAGACGTAATAGTAACGACGTTCATCTATAGTTTGTTAATAATATAGTTGGATGTAGCACGGTTACGTCATGGTGTCACCCAATCACCCTTATTATAATTGTCGATTTTTACTTACAAGACTATTTAACTTTAATTAACTATTAATTGAACGGGCAAAAAAAGCATGTTTCTCCTGTAAATTTTGCACATTTTTTGCCTTGGTGTTACCCATCCTACACTACCGCCCAACATGC